TACATGCAAAGGATTGTACCTAGCGTACCATTAAGTCTCTCCAACTTGATACTCTTCAACTATCTGGTGTCAGAGTTACTCAGTCATATTAGCCCCTGTTGAGAATTTTGGGAGCTGAAATCCATAAATGGAAAATAATTTGGTTACAGGAAGTTGGGTTAGCTTCTTCTTGTTATTAGAATGGGTTTTATGCAGTGGTGAAATCCATTTTTTTTACTACCGGTTCGGTGGGCGTGGCTTGGAGGCGTAGTGTGGCTTGGTGGGCATGACAGGGGAAGGATACTGCAAAATCTCCATTCCCACCCCACTCCTGGGAGAAGGATATTGCAAAATCTCCATTCCCAGCCCACTCCAGGGGAAGAATACTGCAAAATCCCCATTCCCTCCTCACTCCTGTGGGAAGGATATTGCAAAATCTCCATTCCCACCCCACTCTGGAGCCAGCCAGAGCTGGTATTTGCCGGTTCTCTGAACTGCTCAAAATTTCCGCTACCGGTTCTCCAGAACCTGCTGGATTTCACCCTTGGTTTTATGGATGGATGGATGGATGAGAGAACAAACAAAAGTATACAGTAACATCAAGAGAGTAAAAGAATTGAAATGAAAATGGACTGGACACATAGCAAGAAGAACTGATGGCAGGTGGACCAAGGCAGTCATAGAATGGATCCCACTTGATAAAAAGAATCCATGAAACAGGCCTAAAACAAAATGGATAGAAGATATTAGCGAGGATTGCTGGGCCAATTGGCAAAAGAAAGCTCAGGACCGTATAGGTTGGAAATATGCAGAAGAGGCCTTCATCCTGCAGTAGACAATGGCTAAAATGAAGACAATGGTGGTGATGTATGTATGTATCAGAGGTAGCTTTCAACAGGTTCTGACCAGTTCTGAAGAACCGGTAGTGGAAATTTTGAGTAGTTCGGAGAACCAGTAGTAAAAATTCTTACTGGCCCCGCCCCCATCAATTCTCTGCCTCCCAAGTCCCAGCTGATTGGGAGGAAATGGGGATTTTGCAGTAATCTTCCCCTGCCATGCCTACCAAGCCACACCCACCAAGCCATGCCATGCCCACCAAGCCACACCCATAGAACCAGTAGTAAAAAAAATTTGAAACCTACCACTGGTATGTATGTATGTATGTATTGGATTTAAAAAAAACAGATTTTACTTATTGCTATGCCAATTAAAACATACTTACGTCAAAAGTAATAACTGTACAAGTAAATAAAATCATAAGCATTGAAATAGGTCTGTTCTATGTACACAGGATAGTTGGATTCCTGTTCAGGCAACATAGCAGCTACTGCCCTGCTCAAAAGTTTTTAAGCAGCTTTATAAAAACATTTTTTTTCTTCTATTTTTTTCCCCGTAGACTTAATAATATCTCTCGAATTACAGGTCTTGGATTACAATCCTATCTTGGGATCCTTCTTAATCGGTTCCTGTATCATCTTTATGACATTTGTAGTGTTGAACCTCTTCATTTCGGTCATCCTGGTGGCTTTTAGCGAGGAGCAGAAACATTATCAGGTTTGTTCATCGGATCTCAGCGTTTAAAGGGGGACCTGAGAAAGTCCCAAAGAGCATCCTGAGGGCCTCTGGAGTCCTCTGCAACTCTACCACCACCAAGTGTGGTTGATGGAACTGTCTTAAGATTGGCAGAATGCTTTTCTGCCATTTTGTTGGAGGAAATAATGAAACTTGCAATTTTAACATACCTAGAGATTATCAGGGTAGGATACTCTGTGTTAAATAATAGGTTTTGATTTGCAAGATGAATTTCTTTCTCTTTTCTTGATTTTTGTGGCATCAATTCACTGTCAATTCAGCCAGCTGGCTGGGGAATTCTGGGAGTCCAAGTCAGTGCCTCTTAAATTTTCCTAAGGTTGAGAAACACGGTTTTCTATCTAGGAATCCAGCATTGTAACACGGGTAACATTTCTCTCTCTTTCTTTCTTTTTTAAGGCTTCAGAAGAAGAAGAGATAGTGGACCTCCTGCTGAAGAAAATGTGCAGTTTTCTTGGAATTAAATATAAAAATGACCGTACTCCAGTTTGTGGCAAGCAGCTACAGGCATCTGGGAATGACATCTAATCGCTCAGCCAAGATTTTGCTTCTCATGCGAATTTGTAGCTATTGCGTTACTTGTAAAGATTGTGATTTCTGGGTTTGTGAAATGCTGTGGTAGAAAACGGGAGCCCATTTTTAGGAATCAAAAGCTTCATTTGATCTCTTAATAATTGAATGTGTATCTCGCTATAGATATACTGTGAAAATACTTTAAGCTATATAGAGCAGATTTCCCTTTTAGGATGTGCATGGCTATCTGATGTTTCCGGTCATTATTTCTCAGTGTGGTGTAATAAATGTTAAGTGTTAAAGCATAATTGTGGCTCAGTTTATTTAAAATTAGAAATATCAATTTGCAACTGACATGTCTCATATTCCTGTAAAAATTTTCCCCATGGAAATGTTTGGCTCTCCTTCAAAAGTCATCATGTATGAGTGGAAGGCCCTAGAACCGTGATGGCGAACCTATGGCATGCGTGCCACAGGTGGCACGCCTAGCCATATCGGTGGGCACGCGAGCTCAGCTCCAGCATGTATGTGCGCACCGGCCAGCTGATTTTCAGGCCTTCTGGGCCGACTGGAAGTAGGGAAACAGGCTGTTTCCTGCCTTCCAAGGGCCTTGGGGAGTGGTTGGGAAGGCCCATTTTTTTCTCTCCCCAGCCTCCAGAGCCTTTCTAGGAGCCTGGGGAGGGCAAAAACAACCCTACGGAGGCCAGAAATGGCCCATTTGCCTAGGGAGAGAGAAAAACGGGCATACTGGGCCCACCATGCCATCGCGTGCCAGGAGCGGGGGTGGGAGTGTGGGAGGGTCACGTGCATGCACAGGGCCCATAGAATTATGGGTGTGGGCACGCGTGCGTGCGACCCCCCCTGCTCCTGGCACACGATGGCAAAAAGATTAGCCATCACTGCCCTAGAAATTGAAATGATTTAGAAGAAAAGCTGAATGTCCTTTTGCTATGACATTTTCCACTACAGGCCTAGTAAATATAATTACAAAATGTAAAAGGTTAAAAACAAAACACCCCTTCTTGGGGAATGGATTTGCAATATTGCAAACGAGCATAAGAAGTGCTTCACAAATCTCTCACCCATTTTTTTTTCTCTAGCCAAAATTATTCCTCAAAACAAAATTCCTTTGTCTGGGGATTCCAACCTACATTCCAGAGAACAAAAGAGGATGTTTATTCGGGTTTTCTAAGGAAAACAGACTTGTTGCAATCTACTGGGGACAAATGCTTTAAAAAACAAAAACTGATAAAGAGATACAATTTAAGTAAAAAAAAAAAAAAAGGTTTATCAACACTGAAGACTAACTAGCAGAGTATCCTCAGATCCAGCTTGACTGCTGGCATCTGTATCCGGGTAGTTTTCTGAAGGGGCTTCGGACTTGGCTGGCCATAAACTCCCAGATGTTTGGCCAAATCCATATCAAATCCATCCCAGTCCATAAACCAGATCTGACTTGGCCCAGCTTAGGGGCGGTCACCATCCCCTAAAAATGGGGAGCTTTTGCAGTTTTGCAGCTGCCTCTCTCTCCTTTGTTGCTCTTCTTTGAAGCAGCAGAAAGCCTCTCTGGTCAGAGGTTCAATTCTGGCGCTTTCTCCAACTTCACATACACCGCCCCAGATGCTCCCTGGATTTTTCTGAAGGAGTATATGAATCAAACTAATGTTGGCTATTTGCTTTTATTGTGAATTGCCTCATAATATAATTGTTACTGATTAAACCAATATTTGCTGTTTGCTTCTGATATGATATACTGCTAGATATCATTTATTAGGAATTAAGCTTTGTTATTGGCTTCTGCTTGTATTATTGTATACTGACAGAAATTAGTTGTTAGGAACTAATTCTAGCTTAAATTGTAACCTTAATACTGGTTGGCATTAGTGCGCAGTTTGTTATTTCACTGCTGTGTCTCCCTTCTATTTATTTTATTTATTTATTTATTTATTTATTTTTAAAAATTTTATACTGCCCCCTCTCCCAAAGGACTCGGGGCGGTGAACAGCCAAAATTAAAAACACACAATACAAACATTAAAATACTATAAAACGAAATTAAATTTATCTTTGGCTTCCCCAATTTAAAACCCCTTACCCATAAAATTGCCCAATTAAAAGATTTTTAACCCAGCTTATTCTCGGCTTCAAAGCTAGGCACATCCTTGAAAATATAGAAGAGACTTTTACCCAGGAATATCAGGCCCCATAGATAAAGGAACCAGAGTAGGGAGTTTTCCTGCCTCATAAATTCAGAATCCTGAAAGCATTCTGCCGAATAGACAACTTGGCCAAAGTGGGGGACGTAGACTGTCCCTACACAAGGCTATAAGAATACTCCATAGATAAGATGGACAGAGACAGGGGCCTGAACAAAGAACGCTTTGGTAAACTTTTGTTTCTATCTGCGTAAAATGTACATAATATTCTGAGCCATTCTCGCAGGGGGGGTGGCTATTCCTTACATACATTTTGTTTGTATGTTTTGGATATCTTTTATGTACACTGAGAGCGTATGCACCAAGACAAATTCCTTGGGTGTCCAACCACACTTGGCCAATAATAAAAAAAAATCTATATAGTTTTGTCACCCAGCTTTTGCTACAGCCATAAATAAAAGATGGTTGGTTTTTTTTTGCAAGCCTAGTCTGGAGTCTCACTTTCTTTGGCATCTCAAGAGGCTCGGGGAAACCTCTGGGACCTTACACTTCCTTTATGCAGGCCGGGGAAGAGGGGCATTGTAGTCCCTCCACTCCCGAGCGCACCGCGTGGGACAAAGGAGAGAGAAAAACACACAAAAGAGACACGCACAATCTCTCCGCAGCGGCGCGCAGCGACTCCGCCCGGCGCGGCGGCTCTTCCCTTCCCTTCGCCCGGCCAAGGAGCCAGGCCAGGCCCTCCTTCGGGCCGGGAAGGCCCGCCTCCTCCCTCCCTTCCCCTCCCCTCCTCTTCCCCGGCTGCTTTTGCCCTCCGGCCCGGGCCGCCTCCTTCGCGGAGCGGCCCCCGCGATGGCAGTGGCGGCGACGGCTTGGCGAGCCTTGCGGAGGGTCGGGCTTGGCGCAGCGGCCGGGCCGCGCGGATCCTTGCTGGGTTGGCCCAACAGCAGCGGGAGCAGAATCGTCCGCAGCCCCGAGGCCCGGCGGCTCAGCACCAGCCCTGCGTTGCTGCTCGCCGGTAAGGGTGGGCAAGCGGGCGGGGAGCCGGAGCTCCTTTTGCGCCATTGCAATGGAGAGGCAGGCGTGCGCCAAAGCGCGCGGCGGCAACCACCCGGCCCTTTGGCTCGCTCTTTACTCCCGATCCAAGCGCGCCGAGGGATCGCAGCCAAAGCCCCGAGCACCGATTGCGCTTAGCCGGAGGCCTCTCCGCTTCCCGGGCAGCGCGCTTGCCGCCCTGCACGGCTCGGTGCCCCGGATTTTGGCTGAGTCGGCCGCGCAAACCGGGCAGGTCGCATAATCCGTGCAGCTCAGCCAAGGCGAGGGCTGAGTTGGAGGCTTCGGGGAGAGCGTGGGACGGGGATGCCAAGCGTTTGCCTTTCGGCTTCCCGGGAATCCGTCCTGGAAGTCACAGGCCCTTTTGCTTCCACGCGTGGGCAGCGCACCCAGGAAGTTGGGCTTCCTGGATAGGACCGTCGTGCAATGCAGGGTGGAAAAAACCAAAAACAAATAAATTTGATCTCCAAGCAAGGCTAAGATCCTAAATGAATAGAATAGAATTTTTTTTAAAAATAATAATTGTTATTGTTATTTCTCTTTTTTAAAAACAAAACACAAACATAAAACGTCTGTTTCCTTTTTACAACAGTTTCAAGTCGGTGTTCTTCTATCATTTGTATTTTCCCCTAACTCTTCTTTTGCATATATTTGTCTTTATAGTCTCCTTATTCCTCTAGGCAATCCTTCCCATATAATATTGTAACTATATATTATTTTTCTAACATCCTCCGCTTTATAACACTTTCCCAGTCGTTCTTATTTACTGTTTCTATTTCCCAACCAATCGTACCATTTGTTCCATCCTAAATAATATTCTGTTCTTCCTTTTCTTTTATCTCTTTCGTTAATTTGTCCATCTCTGCACATTCCAAGATTTTTCTTATCAGTTCTTCCTCTTTTTTTTTTTATAATATATTTTTATTATGGTTTTTTTTTTCAAAATTCCAATACATAATCGAACCGACAGTGTCATTTCCCCAAAAGACAGGTTGGATTAGTTGTTCAGGCAAATTCTACATTTTATATATATAAAAAATTCTGTGCGAATACTATCCTTGCTGCCCTTATTATGAGAATACAATAGAATTCTTTATTGGCCAAGTGTGATTAGACACACAAGGAATTTGTCTTTGGTGCATACGCTCTCAGTGTACATAAAAAGGAAAAAAATACATTCATCAAGAATCATAAGATACAACAATTAGTGATAGTCAAGGTTACTAATAAGCGATCAAATCGTACTAGGAAACAAATAAAAACAATATAAATCGAAAGATACAAGCAACATGGTTATAGTCATAAGTGGGAAGAGATAGATACTAGGAAGGAAGAGAAGAATAATAGTCTTTCAAGCAGCTAAATGTTACTATGAAGTGCATTGTAGCATAGTACCCCCCTTTCCAATACATAACTCTGAATTCTAGGCCACCTCTCATCCCTTGCAGAGGGATGCAGAGAAATGTGTTGGAGAAATTGGGCAGGAGAGCTGGTTTGGATGACTTTGGGCCAGTTCCAGTTTCTCAGCCCAACCCACCTCACAGGGTTGTTGTTGTTGTTGGGGGTGGAAATAGGAGGAGGAAGGAGTATTAGGTATATTTGCGGCCCTGAGTTGCTTATAAAGTATTAAAGGCTGGCTAACAATCAATCAAACTGCAAACAATTTCTTTGGATTTGGGACATTGGCATGCCATGGGATTTCAAAATATTCCATGAGGATATTGAAAAGCGAACGGGAGACTGGTTGCGGATCCTGAGGCATTAACTGGGTTTTGCAAACAACGTTGGCTTGCTCTTGTGCAAGATCTAAGCGCATGAACTACCGTATCTTTATGCTTTTTGATACGTCCAGTAACGTGTGGGATTAAAGGAGACAGAGAATTGGAAATATTCAGCTTTTAGCCGTGAGTCACGGAAGAAGACTTGTTAGGGTTTTCTAAGTTTTGAAGAGAGTTTCCTGTTCAAAGTTTGGAAAAACATTCCCAGCAATAAGGCCAACTTGATAGTGATTATGGCTGTTGACTCGTAGCAATCATATAGATAATCTGAAATGAGGATTTGTCCCTTACCTGGTCTTTCAACCATTTCTTAAGGAAAGTGGTGGTCTCTCCATCTCTACACAAGTTCAAAGAGAGGTTGGGTTGCAATTTCTTCGGGACGATTTCGTTTGAATTCCAGCCTTGATGGAGTTGAGTTTAATCACCAAAATGGCCCCCACTCAACTCTGCGATTCTATAAAGACAAACATATTGTGTGGGTGGTTAGCTAGATGGAGTGTTATGTTATTATTTTTGCAATAAAACGCACCTGGAGATGCCCTTGATATCTCCTGCAAATTGGTTCAGAAGAACACGGAATAGTCGTTGTGGAATTGTGTCAGCAGAAGGGGAAGCAAAGTATGAGTATTGTAGAAAGAGAAAGCTGCGTCTAGCAGAGGTTGAATGTTTGACAAAGTTTGATTTTGATCAGACAGGGAGTATAAGCTAAGCCGATATGAATACATAAACAATAATTCTTAAATATCATTTACCAGTTACGCCACACATAAAGGGTTTCCTAGCTCAAGTTTAAGTTTCGGGGTTTATGCTAGAAGAACATAAGTAGGATTGCAGAGGGATATGCAAATACAGAGCCTTAAAATTGACCCATTGTTGTTTTTTGTTTTAGCTCGTCGGTTTACGGACAAGCACGAATGGATCGCCGTCGAAAACGGAATTGGAACGATAGGAATTAGCAACTTTGCACAGGTACTGTTTTCTGCCCTCCCGGGAGATCTTGGCATTGTCGGTTGGCCTTGCTCTTTGATTTCTCGATTGTCCCGAGTGCCGTTTCTGCCTGCAAGGCCAATTTGTGGACTTGGACCTCGGGGGCGCCTGCCTGGAAAACAGGATTGAAATGCCCTGGCTGTGCCTCATTGGCTTGGCCTCATCCCAAAAAAACCCTTAGAACCTGAGATGGGATTGTGCCTGAAAGTTTCTATTGGTTTCTGATTGGTTCATTGGAGAAAATGCATTCATAATGTAAGAGAGGGCCAGGCAGCCTTTAGATCAGGGGTCTCCAACCTTGGCAACTTTAAGACTTGTGGACTTCAACTCCCAGAAGGACTACCTGTAACTTAATATTTTAGTGGAGAGGATGAAGGCTTCAGTTGGCTGGACAGTAGCCCCAAAAATGGGTAAGACTGTCCCAAATCCATGGATAGGGGGCCAAGATATCCTACTTATCGTATTTTTCGGAGTATAAGACGCATCTTTTTCCCCCTAAAAGGGGGTGAAAATTTAGGTGCATCTTATACACCAAATGTAGCCGCGCCCACCCACTGGCCCCCACCCTTTGGCCTCTGCCTCGCAGCAGTTACCTCCTTGCAAGCAAACAGCAAGAAAAAACAGCTCCTTTCAGCTTCAGCACAGCCTAATTAGCACAAGTTGATTGGATCGGCCTCCTGATTCTCATTTGCTGATTTGCTGTCAGCTGTTTTGGGCAGGGCTCTGCTGTTTGCTGCAAAGAGGTAAATTGCTGGAGCAGATTTTTCTTTCCTTGTGCTAATCAAGCTATGCTGAAAACGAAAATGAAAGTAAAGCAGGCTGTTTGCTGTTTGCTGCAAGGAGGCAAAATTGCTCAGAGGCAGAGGGAGATTTTTTTTCCTTCTTTTTCTCACCAAAAAAGGTAGGTGCGTCTTATGCTCCGAAAAATATGGTATTTCCCTCAAATCTCATTTTAGGGTTTTCTGGGCAGATTTTTTTTTTTTTTGACATGCTTTCATCTTAAACTGGTTGACAGTGACGCCGATAATTTCTGACAAATGTGATCAAAGGAGCGAGTGTCTGGGAGGTGTGAAAGATATACTTGTGGGGTCCATGCAGCCACCAAGAAGGAACCTAAGGCTGTTTTATTATGTCAGCATTTCAAAGTCAACCTGACATTGTCCCAAGTGGGAAAGCAGCACTTCCTTAATGTCAATGGCTGTTCTTATGTTTGTGAAACACAACACAACAGGATCTGCTTGCTTTGAGCACCCTCGGCTGGAGACCACTGGATTGGTGAGGAATTTTGCAAGTTGCAGTTCTTGAAGCTGTTTCAAAGCTTTATTTATCTTTGTTTGTTTGTTTGCATCCCGCCTTTATTATTTTTACAAATAAGGTGGCAACAATATCCAACACAACTCCCTCCTCCTGTTTTCCCCACAACAACAACAACAACAACAATCCAGTGAGGTGAGTTGGCCTGAGAGAGAGAGAGTGACTGGTACAAAATCATCCACCAGCTGGCTTTTGAGGCTAAGATAGAACTCGAACTCACAGTCTCCTGGTGATTGGCCCAAAGTCACTCAGCTGGCTTTCGTGGCTAAGACAAATGTAGCCCCGCCCACTCACTGGCCCCCACCCTTTGGCCTGTGCCTTGCAGCAATTACCTGCTTGCAAGCAAACAATAAGAAAAAACAGCTCCTTTCAGCTTCAGCACAGCCTAATTAGCACAAGTTGATTGGATCGGCCTCCTGACTCTTAGCTGATTTGCTCTCAGCTGTTTTGCACAGGGCTCTGCTGCTTGCCGCAAAGAGGTAAATTGCTGGAGCAGATTCTCCTACTCTCTCTCCTGCTCTCTCTAGCATGAACTCTCCTATTCTCTCTAGCATGGAGCCTTAGCCATTAAACCAGGGGTGAAATGCTCCCAGTTCGGACTGGATCGCCTGATCCGGTAGCGATGGCGGTGGGTGGTTTGGAGAACTGGTAGCAAAAATCCCTGTCCCCACCCCCATGCCCAGCTGAGCCGCGCAATCATCAGAGGCTTTTTTAAAAAAAATTTAAAAGCATTTTTTCTACAACTTCTTCGGCCGAAAAAATGCTTTTAAAAGTGTAAAAAAAAAAAAAAAGCCTCTGATAATCGTGCGGCTCAGCTGGGATCGTCAGAGGCTTTTAAAAGCATTTTTTCTACAACCTCTTCAGCCGAAAATGTTGTAGGGGGAAAAAAATGCTTTTAAAAGCCTCTGACGATCCCAGCTGAGTTGCTGATCCTCAGCTGAGTTGCTGATCTGAATAGGTTGTAGAAAAAATGGTTTTAAAAGTAAAAAAAAAAAAAAGTTGGCCACACCCACCCAGTCACATTTTCCCCCCCTCCCACCAAGCCACGCCCACAGAACAAATTTTATATTTCACCACTGTCCCAAAGGTGCTTTTTCAAGAGGCAACTGGACTGCCTGGTTTTTCTTCGAAAAGGTTTTGCTTCTCATCCAAGAAGCTGGAAAATAAAAACACTTTTGGGACAACCATGGCCTGGAGGACTGAGAATCTCCATAGACGTTTGTTTTCTGCTTAAATTCCACCAAGAAGATGCTCAACTTTCTTTCCACAGCGGTTTCCACTTCTTTAAATCATGGCTGATGCAGGAACTTTTCATTTCAGGAAGCATTAGGAGATGTTGTTTATTGCAGCCTTCCAGAAATTGGAACAAAGCTGAACAAACAAGGTAAGCATTATTCTTTTTTTAAAAAAAATCTTGTCTCCCCCCCCCCCCAAAACATAAATGTAACATTAGACAGCAATCTCAACTTTGGAGGAATAAAGTTACTTTAGGCTTTTTTTTTAAGGAGACAGCTGCGCCCCAAAGATTTCTTTTTCTTTACATTAAATAACAGACCTCTCCCCATCCCAGCCCCCAGTTCCTTGCCTTACAAGGTGTCAAAAGGAGAAACAAGTTATGTGTTGTGGCCCGCCCAGATTCGGACAGTGAGAAGGTTGGGGAGGAACATGGGCCAGTCCTGAAGAGCCTTGGTAGCACAGTGGACTAAAGCACTGTTGTTATTTTTTTTAAAAATTTGATTTATATGCTGCCCTTCTCCGGAGACTCAGGGCGGCTTACAATGCACTAAGCAATAGCCTTCATCCTTTTGTATACTTATACAAAGTCAGCTTATTGCCCCCACAAACTGGGTCCTCATTTCACCTACCTTAGAAAGGATGGAAGGCTGAGTCAACCTTGAGCCTTGGCGAGATTCGAACCTGCAGTAATTGCAGGCAGCTGGTCTTAATAACAGGGTGCTTTAGACCACTGTACTACCAAGGCTCTATTACTTGCAATTACTGCAAGTTCAAATCTCACCAGGCTCAAGGTGGACTCAGCCTTCCATCCTTTCTAAGGTAGGTAAATTGAGGACCCAATTGTGGGGGCAATAAGATGACTTTGTATAAATATACAAAAGAATGAAGGCTATTGCTTAGCGCATTGTAAGCCGCCCTGAGTCTCCGGAGAAGGGCGGCATATAAATTAAAGCAAAAAAAAAAAAAGTCTGGGGAAGGCTCTGACAAGGGCTCTACGTCCGAGGCAGGAAGGGGGCCAGGGCAGTTATCAACTGCCTTCGGAGTCAGACATCAGATCATTGGAGAAAGAGATTTCTAAAAGAAAGCCCTGGAAGGTCTCCAAGACAACCTATTAGAGGCAAAGAAAGTATCACCCAAAACAGCACTTCTGTTGCTGGCAGCAGATTCGGACAGAACATGGGCCAGTCCTGGAGTCTGGGGAAGGCTCTGATGAGGGGTCTGCATCGGAGGCAGAGAGGGGGCCAGGGCCATCTGACAGTTATCAGCTGCCTTCGGAGTCAGACATCAGTGAGGCAGACAAACAGTTGGAGCCTGTTCCCAGTGTGCGCATGCACAGAGTTGCCAGAAGAAGGAAACAGCTAGAGAACAAGGGTTGACTTGGGAGTAAGGCCACAGGAGGACGATGAATGGCCCCTCCCAGAGGGAATAAAGGAAAGAACTAAATGTGCTTGTTTAGCAAGACTGTATGGACCCTCCCGAGGGATGCGGTGGGTGCATAAAAGATTAGGAAGTAAATTAGAAAGTAATGGGTATATTAGGGATGTGGTGGCTAAGATGTTGAGCTTGTCAATCGAAAGGTCGGCAGTTCAGCGGTTCGAATCCCTAGTGCCGCGTAATGGGGTGAGCTCCCGTTTCTTGTCCCAGCTTCTGCCAACTTAGCAGTTTGAAAGCACGTAAAAAATGCAAGTAGAAAAATAGGGACCACCTTTGGTGGGAAGGTAACAGCGTTCCGTGCGCCTTTGGTGTTGAGTCATGCCGCCACATTACCCGGAGACGTCTTCGGACAGCGCTGGCTCTTCGGCTTTGAAACAGAGATGAGCACTGCTTCCTAGAGTCAGGAATGACTAGCACATATGTGCGAGGGGAACTGTTACCTTTTCCAATGGACCTTCCCATCCCCTAAATGCATGCAGCTCTTAAACCTCCGGAGAGAGAGAGAGAGAGTGAACACCTTACTAAGTTACTACCAGCTTCTGTTGATAGGACAAGCACTAGGAGTAGGACAATGACTAGATTGGTTCCATAGCTGCAGATTTATAGTTATTATTATTATTATTATGCTTCGTTGCATAATCAGCCAGATGTTCAAGACTGGATTTGGCATTTTTTGACTGCTCGTTGAGTCCTTTCTAAGGAAAAGTTGGATAGGCAGATGTGGATGTTTGATAGTGTTACAGATAAACCATTGCAGGATGGAAGCTGTTCTGAGTAAAGCTACCTTGTGCCATTGACCGATTGTGAGTTGGTCAATGCCGACGGTGTTCAAGTAGGACTCCAGTTGTTTTGCGACTGCACCCGAGGTGCCCATTAGGGTTTGTCACAGAGTCAGCCAGATGTTCAGATTTGGCATTTTTGTCTACCTATTATTTTTATTTGTATTACTTACTTTATTCATTAAACATGAAAATCAGTCAACTGAACATTCCAAAATGCATCACAAATATCATTGACCGGTGCTAATGGTTGCTGCCAGCGTCCCAGGTATTATTATTATTATTATTATTATTATTATTATTATTATTATTATTATGTTTTTAATGTTTTTAATTTTTAAATGTTTTTTTATAATGATTTTAAATGCATTGTGAGCCGCCCTGAGTCTTCGGAGAGGGGCGGCATACAAATTGAATTAATAAATAATAAATTATTTATTATTATTATTATTATTATTATTATTATTATTATTATTTTGTTAAATTTATTTGCCGCCTATCTTGCTATATGGGGCTACTCTGGGTGGCTAATAACAATAAAAAGGAAGAAATGAAAAGAGCATGAAGAGAAGGTAATAGAACCAGAAATAAACATTGAAAGAGAACACAATGAGAAATACAGCTGTATGATTAGCAAAAAAGAAAGATGGGCAGGTGGAGAGCAGGTGTGTGTGTGTGTGTGTGTGTGGAGTCTGCCATTAATCCGGCAGCCACTTGTAGCATGACACATCATACAAATGCAAATTCTCGTTTTGGGATTTCTGTACCAAGGCCTTTTCCCATTTAATGTTCCAGATGAATTTGGAGCCTTGGAAAGTGTGAAGGCTGCTAGTGAAATCTACTCTCCCATCACAGGAGAAGTCACAGCAATTAACACCGCCCTTGCTGATAATCCTGGACTTGTCAACAAATCTTGTTACCAAGATGGTAAGAGAAGGAATCCCCGTTTTCCAAAGGATTGCGAACAGTAGTTTTGCAGAATATCGCAATGATAATACAGGTAGTCCTCAATTTATGACCCAACGTTGAGCCCAAAATTTGTTCTTAAGTGAGCCAGTTGTTAAGTGAGCTTTGTCCCATTTTACTTTCTTGCTTCAGTTGTTAAATGAATCACCTAATGAGGAGGGAAGACAGGACTCCTTGGACAAAACCCCAATGTTGGGAAAGTTGGAAGGCAAAAAGGAGAAGTGGGCAGCACAGGAGATGGTTAGATGGTGTCATTGATGCAATGAATGTGAATTTGGGCAAACTCTGGGAGGCAGAGGAGGACAGGACTGGCAATGCTATGATCCATGGGTTAATTGACCCATGGTCCTGAAACGGGATCAGAGCGAAGAGATTGGCCCACCCGATTAGGTTTGAGCAGGTTGACGGGTCCCTATTGGGGAGGAACCCATGCCACCCACTTGACCAAACCAGTGAGTGGACCACTGAGAATCAATTTGATTTGTAATGGCTCCCAAAATGACAGACACGGTCATACTAGGGCTCTTTTAGCTAGACAAGTGGGGCCCGACCCTCTGGTGGCAACCGGAGGCTGAGGATAGCAAGGGGCCCCCAACCCCTCCCCCCTGCACCTGCAAATAGGAAACCCCCCTTAGAGCCCCACTAGAACAACTGGCAGCCACCTCTGAACAAACCCCAGAGGCTGAGCAGATCCCTAGAGAATATCACTGAAGTGTTCAGTGAAACTGAGTGCGGAGTTGGACATGACTTAGTGACTGAACAGCAACAAAAACCTGTAGAGTTAAGACTAGAAGCCTTTGGACCTAAGAGTAGCATTTACTACCCTGTTTCCCCTCAAATAAGACATCCCCTGATAATAAGCCCAATTGGGCTTTTGAGCGCATGCACTAAAATAAGCCCTCCCTGAAAATATTTAAACTCATGGGCAGCCGGTCCCCGCCATTTCCTCTGGTTAGGGTTAGGGAGACAGAGCTGGAAATCAGGTAAGACGGCAAGAGGAGCCCCGTCTTGCTCCATAGACCCCAAAATAATAAGACTTCCCCAAAAATAAGGCCAAGCACTTATTTCGGGGTTCAAAAAAATATAAGACAGGGTCTTATTTTTGGGGAAACACGGTAGAACTACAGGAGCCCTGGATATCTTGGTGCTTATTTTAAAACACACACACACACACACACACCCTAATTTGTTTGTTTGTTTGTTTGTTTTGTTGGCTCACAGGCTGGCTTATCAAAATGACGGTGGATAATCCTTCTGAACTGGACGACCTCTTGACTGAAGAGGCGTATGAAAAATACATCAAATCCATCGAGGAATAAGCTAAAAGGTGCCAAGCTGAGCCAGTACCCACTACTTTCTTTGACTTGGATGGCCCCAAATTACTGGAGAAGTTGGCGCAGCAGCTGGTTGAGGAAATTTTGAAAGGAAAAAAAGCACTGCCTTTCTTCCAATTGCGTTAAAGGCAGTCCACAAACGTCCGTAAATCAAAAAACGTTTGTGCCTTTTCTGAGTAGGCAAGAATCAGGAATAGTTTCGATTTTTCTCCCCTCCGTTCCTGATGAATATAATTTCAAGGTTTGAAGTCCATCATCCCTTCTGGGCTAGAATGACCTTTGTTCCTGAAATGAACCCAGTAGGTTGATAAAATAGATCTGGAAGATGATGCAACGTCCTTAATCCCAAACGTCTACTTTTTATTTGTACAGATTTTCTTGCTTTTCTTTGTCTGCCCTCTTTCCCCGGGCGTCTTGTTTTTGGGCATCTACCAGAAGCTGTCCTGCTGCCTTTGGTATTAGTGAAAGTCCTCAAGAGATTAGATGGTTTAAAAGTGCAAGTGTTGGGCTGGAGGCATGGAGACCTCCGGCTAACCCTTCCTGCCTCGCAGCAGATAAGATAACAGAAGTTAATAAAAAATCCTGACTTTACCAAGTTTGTTTGTTGTTCCCGTTGTAGCTTAATAGTTAAGTGGTGGGTAAGACTGAGGCGGTGCATTCGACCTTGTAGTTTATTGGAAAGTTTGAAAGTCAAATCTTGGGGCCTCCGTACAGGCAGTCCTCGATTTACGACCACAAATATGCGTGGCCGGCATCGGGCGATACAGTGTGGATTCTGGAGCTCCAGAAGAGCACCGAAATCCCAGCCGATTCTGGGGATCCCTAGGGATCATAGCTGTCTTGTAGGGACAGTGAAGAAAGAAGATGCAGGCTGGCACGGATGGGGAAAGCAAGTTCCCTGAAGTGCCGGCATTAGTCTTCTTGCCACAGCTGTTAAGTGAATCACCGCAGTCATTAAGTTAGTGACGGATGTTAAATGAATCTGGCTTTCCCACTGACTTTGCTTTAGAAGGTTTGCAAAACGGGATGGCATGACCCAGGGATACAGCATCCGTCGTAAATAGGAGTCATCATTTGGAGTCAGCAAAAAAGTACACTACTACAAAAATATACAAAATGTAACAGTAACAGAGTTGGAAGGTCATCTAGTCCAACCCCCTGCTCACGCAGGAGACCTATACTAAGGATTCTGAACCACTGAACTTTCTGATCGACAAGCTCAATGTCTTAGCCACTAAGCCACCTAGCCAGGCATGTAAATATAAATGTAAATCTAATATAAATATTTCTACGCACACAGCAGGAAGAGAAAGTTGTGTTGGATATGTTCGCCTCCTTATTTGTAAAAATAAAGGTGGAATATAAAATAAATAAAATATTGTATAGTACCATATTAGGAATAGCAGGGTTGGAAGGGATCTTGGAGGTCGTCTATTCCAACCCCCTGCTCAAGCAGGAGATCCTTTACCATTTCAGACAAGTGACTGTCCAGTCTCTTCTTAAAAACCTCCAGTGATGAAGCATCAACAACCTCTGAAGACAACAACTGTTCCACTGGTTAATTGTTCTCACTGTCTGGAAATGTTTCCTTATTTCTAGTTGGAACTCTTTGTTGAGCTTCCGTCCATTACTTCTTGCTCTGCCTTCAGGTGCTTTGGAGAATAGGTTGACCCCGGTGGTGGGATTCAAAATCTTTTACTACCGGTTCTGTGGGCGTGGCGTGGCTTGGTGGGTGTGCAGGGGAAGGTTACTGCAAAATCCCCATTTCCTCCCGATCAGCTGGGACTCGGGAGGCAGAGAATAGATGGGAGTGGGGCCAGTCAGAAATGGTATTTACCGGTTCTCCGAACTACTCAAAATTTCCGCTACCGGTTCTCCAGAACTGGTCAGAATCTGCTGAATAGCACCTCTGGTTGATCCTCTGCTCGCTGTGGGAGCCTCTCAAATATTGGAAGACTGCTATCATGTCACCCCCTAGTCTTTTCGCTCATTAGAATAAACATACCCTAGTTCCCATAACCGTTAATCGTACATTTTAGCCTCCAGTTCCCTAATCATCTTCGTTGCTCTTCTCTGAATTCTTTCTAGAGTCTCAATATCTTTTTTTGTACCATGGTAAAAATACAAGTGGGAAAAGCCCCCAAATATGGGATCAACGAAGTCCCAGACACCTGCAAATCGGGACGAGGGTGGAAGCGACATCATGCGTGTCATGGCATCGTGATTTTCATTAGACGCCCACCAGCATTAGTAAACTCTACTTGCAATACCCAGGAAGTCAACCTCTGGAAAGAGAGTGAGTTCTGGATCCCTCCAGAAGAGGGCACTACTGGCTTGCTAAGCAATCTCCCGAGTTCCCATGACCAGATGGTATTCCTCAAGGTGCTACCTCTCAGTTGTGTCGGGACTACAACTCCCAGAATTCCCCAAGTAGCTCAATGCTGCACCAGCATGGGGAAAGATGGCAGAATAGTACACAACGGTGATTCAGACTCCAAGCAGTAAGACATTTGTGTTGCCATCCTCACCGGAACCCGGAAGAGTAACGTACGATGGCTGGCATGCCTGGAGAGATGGCTCTGCGTGCCACTTCCATCACACATGCCATAGGTTCACCATCACTGTCCTAGGTTATAGCACAAGGATGCATATTCAGAGTATCTCTGGAGAAATTTCAGGGCTATTTTGGTGCCACAATGTCCATCTTTTCAATTTATTTTGCATGTCTTACCTAAGTCTCAAATTTATTTCCTGGAGAAATCAGAGATGGTTCCCTGTATAATGCCCAGGTCCAGATATCGTAGTAAGCTTGTGCTTGTTTTATTGTGGTTTACTGAGTAAATTACCACTGTCCAGGCTTAGTCATACACAGAAGCTGGATCCACATTATTGTTATTTTATGTAAACTTGCTGCAAAACGTAATTCTGATTGAATTGCATGCCTCAACTGGGCTACAATGGCTTCTTCAACAAACCAGTTTGAAAAACCTTGGTGTTGTTTCATAGATGATGCCACAATTCTTTTTCTTGTCACACGCAGACACAGAGATACACATAGAGGGACAGAGATAGAAAGACTATATGCACCATGAGGGGGCAAAATGCATTTTGATGAGAATCTACTGGACAGTGTCCTCAATAAATAACACAACTATTTTGGAATTCTTATTTTTTCCCCCTAAAAGACTAAATGGGTTAAATATATATTTATATTTGTGTGTGTGTGTGTATGTGTATATATGTATATATATGTATGTATTTTGAAAAATATTAGGAATCTCTCTCTCTCCTGTCATCTGTGGCATCTCATCATCTATCATTCCTCGATCTGTCTGTCTGTCTGTCTGTCTGTCTGTCTATCTATCATCTAACTACCTATCATCCATCTATGTCTGTCTTCTGTCTGTCTATCTATCTATCTATCTATCTATCTATCTATCTATCTATCTATCATCTATCTACCTATCATCTCTCTCTCTCATCTACCTACCTACCTACCTACCTACCTACCTACCTACCTACCTATCTATCATCTATCTATCTATCATCTATCTATCTTTCTATCTCTCCCTATCTATCTACCTCTCTACCTATCATCTATCTACCTATCATCTCTCTCTCTCATCTATCTATCTATCTATCTATCTATCTATCTATCTATCATCTATCTATCTATCTATCTATCTATCTATCTATCTATCTATCTATCTATCTATCATCTTCAGAAACAAGGCTGCATTATTCTACCAAACAGAAAGATTTATTTCTCAAAAAAAACTTCCTTTAGAGAGAAAATAGAACAGAAAACCGTGATGACTCATAAGTACACCATTTTTATTGATCTGCAGTTTCAGTAGGAATCAAGAGGAGGCATTTTGAGAGAAAATTGTCCCTTTATGGGTCTGCAGAGAGAGGCTACGATTCATAAAATGAACCATCAAGCTTTTTTGGTAATTAAAAATATTTCCTTCCTGTTCTATGACAAGTGCAGTTCTCAGGCTGTGCACACTAAAAAGGAAAGGCTTTTCAAATGCATGATGGGAAACCACAAATGTTCTGCTAAGAATGTTATGGATCTATACAGATAGTCCTTGACTTACGATTTTGAGCCCAAAATGTCTGTTGCTAAGTAAGACAGTGGTTAAGTGAGTTTTGCCCTATTTTATGAACCTTTCTTGCCACAGTTGTTAAGTGAATCAATGCAGTTGTTAAGTTAGCAACACAGTTGTTAAGTGAATCTGGCTTCCCCCATTGACTTTGCTTTGTCCGAAGGTCGCAAAAGGGGATGACGTGACTTCAGGGCACTGTGACCGTCATAAAATAGGAGTGTATGAATTTTGATCACGTGACATCACGGGATGCTGCAAGAGTTGTAAGTGTGAAAAGCGGGTGTAAGTCACTTTTTTCATTGCCATTGTAACTTGGAACGGTCACTAAATGAATGGTTCTTAAGATGAGGTCTACTTTTTAACTTCTTTTTAAGCTGTGGGTTAATTCTTGGCATTTGAGTTGTGTATGGAATCTCTTCTTCAGGAAAGAAGGATGGAGTGGGGTGGGGACGGAGGCAGAGTTGCTATTCAGCAGGTGCTGACAGGTTCTGGAGAACCGGTAGCAGAAATTTTGAGTAGTTCAGAGAACCGGCAAATACCACCTCTGGCTGGCCCCAGAGTGTGGTGGGAATGGAGACTTTGCAATATTCTTCCCCCCCAGGAGTGGGGAGGGAATGGGGATTTTGCAGTATCCTTCCCCTGCCACGCCCACCAAACCAAAGCACGCCCACCAAGCCATATCCCACAGAACTGGTAGTAAAAATTTTGAATTTCATCACTGGTTGGAGGAAACCCCAAACTTAATTGATCTGATTTAATATCTTTACAAAGAACTACAAATCATTTTGATAGTAAAATACATAAAGTGATTCACTCCCCTCCCCCCCGGTATTTAATGGGATGGGTCATACTTTAAAATTTATATCTGGTGGCAGGTTTTGAAAGCTGGGTATTTCAGGCTTTGGAGGACTTCAGGTTATGCATCCTGCTATAAAATGCTAAAGGGATGCGGTGGCTGAGTGGCTAAGATGCTGAGCTTGTCGATTGGAAGGTCAGCAGTTCAGCGGTTCGAATCCCTAGTGCCGGGTAACGGGGTGAGCTCCCGTGACTTGTCCCAGCTTCTGCCAACCTAGCAGTTTGAAAGCATCTAAAAAAAAATGCAAGTAGAAAAATAGGGACCACTTTGGTGGGATGGTAACAGTGTTCCGTGCACCTTTGGCCTTTAGTCATGCTGGCCACATGACCACGGAGACATCTTCGGACAGCGCTGGCTCTTTGGCTTAGAAATGGAGATGAGCACCACCCCCTAGAGTCGGGAACGATTAGCACATATATGCGAGGGGAACCTTTACCTATACCTATAAAATGTTAAACCAAAGGAAATGTCAAATGGAATGAAGACTGGTCCTTAAAGACCCTATCATCATCATCATCATCATCATCATCATCATCATCATCATCATCCACGTCTTTTAGTACTGGTCTGCTCAGAGAAGTTTAAAGACTCGCCCATCGGGTGGAATTTATGAGTCTCTTATGAAA